AGATCTTAAAAAAAAAGTTCAAGATTAAAAAAAATCTCAAACTTATTTAAAGATTTTATTTTATTATTTAAACGAATTAAACTTTGTTGATTTGAATATTTTTAATAAATTTGTTTATACAAAAAATAAAAACAATAATAAATTTTGAAACATTTTTGTTAACTTGTTTTATGGATTTTAAATGCCAAATTTTTTATTTCATCTGATTTATACAATTTAGATAATTTAGCTGGGATTTTATCAGTTCTTCGTTCTCAATATGAAGAAATATGAAATAAATTTGTTCAAGCGAAAATTTCAAATTTATTTTTTTAAGACGAGATCTGTTCAGTTTCATTCTGAACAAATGCAAAATGTTCTTAAATGATCTTGTTTGTTTGCTTTGAGTTTGGTTGTTGTTTTAGCCTTTGTGTTTCATTCATTGAAAAAAAAGAAGAAGGGAAGAAGAGCAAGAGGAAGGGAAATCGCCCGCTTACTTTGGCTCACTGTTGTTCCTTCCTTTGCTGGCATAGCTCAGCGTTTCCCGTGCCGTATTCGGCTCATCGCCCGGACTATTGTCGGCCGCAACGGTGGCAATTTTGCGTATAAACTCATCTTCGCTGCACGCATCATCATTGTCCAGCTCCACCTGATTGCACTCGAGCTTGCGCCGCTTCAGGTGCTTCCCGCCACCGCGGCCACTGCTGGCACCGCTGCTGCCGCTGCTCTCCGCCTCGCTGGTGGTTTCCTGCTGCTGCAGCTGTAAATTTAATGCGGGATACTGAAAGAGTGGCTGCTGGGGCAGTTGTTGGTGTTGCTGCTGTTGCTGTTGCTGGAAATGCTGCTGCTGTTGCTGCTGCTGCAATTGTTGCGGCTGTTGCACAGTGAGCACCACATCGGCTGTCTTGTGGCGCAGCGTTGTGCTAAATAGGCCACCGAACAGCTCGGAGCTGAGCGACGGTATCGATGTTGCTGTTGTKGTTGTCGCTGTTGCCTGATTGCTGTCGGTGCCGAAGCCGGTGTCCTCATCGTTGCTCGGCGGCGTCACCAGATCGTCCACAAATGTTGGCGATGAGTTCGATTCGATTTCATCCAGATAGTTTAGCATTTTCTGGGCATGACGCGATCTATATTTAGGTACACATATATGCATACATATATATATATATATTTATGGACACATACAGTTATATTGAGTATATGCGGTTTGAGCTGTTTATTCGATATTATTGATACTCTGATCTGGTGCAAAATTCTCTTTGTTTATATTATTGGCAAATTTCATTATTGGCAATAATAATCAGAATCATGTTTGAGATGGTGTTCAATAAAATACTTATATTTGGTTTCAAATTGTGTAATTCAAGCTTTCGCGTTATCATAACCTATATCAAATTACAATCAAAGCACTGGGAAAAATAAACTCAAGATATAGGAATATATACATAAATATCCAAGCAGATGAACAGCAATACAAGTTGCAACGAACCTTTGAATATTCTTACTGTGCACAATGACTTAGTTCATTTGAACAAGTTCCCATACATGTGCCTATATGTATCATTTATTTGTGATGAAAAAATAGAGAAAATTTGTCAAACTGAACTTGGAACAAGTTCCAAGTAGCTAGTTCATTTGAACTAGTTCCCACACATGTGCCTATATGTACATACAAATGTATATACAAGTTATTTGTGATAAAAAAAATAGAGAAAATTTGTCAAAATGAACCTAGAGCTAGATCCAAGGAGTTAGTTCATTTGAACTAGTTCACATATATGTGCCTATATGTACATACAAATATATATATATAATTTTTTTGTGATGAAAAAAA